AGTATTTCACACCAGTTTTGGGGTTCTCCTGATAACATCGGTTGTAAAGCCTTGGCAGGGATCCTCGGCACTCACGTTTGTTGCCAAGCTGTGCCTCAAGAAGGCGGTGCAGGGTGAAGCAGTCAAAGTTGGATTTCGGGTGAGGCAGGGGTTGTCCGATATCGATGAAGACCACACAGAACAAACTATATACACAAACCAAAGACCATAACATAAACTAATATCAAATCAGTGTTTCCCTTCCCAGCTGCCCAGCTGCCCCCGCTTGAGTGCCAGGCTGGATGCCGTTGGTGGGAAGAGCACATTGAAACCGCAACGGCCTGTCTTGATTTTGAAAGGACAGCTGGATTTGGAGGCGAACACTCCAGTACAGCTGCTGTGATGTAGTTTGGAGGCAATTGGCCCTAACAAAGCGGATTTTCATCCCTTAGAGCCTTAGATTTCTGCTTGTGTTGGGGGGATGTGCTCTGACAAGACTGCTGCACCCCTTGAATGAGAGTTTGCATTTTAACTGAAACCGATCTTTGAAAATTGATTGATAAGCAAAACGAACTTTACCTGGTACTGCTTAGATCTTTTTAGCGTCGACTGTCTACCCGTCATCAGAGCACACGGCCTCCACAAAACAAAAACAAACCGGGCAGCAAAGCCTCATGTCAGTGAAAAGAGCCGCAAGGGCATCGAAGAGGTCAGCATGGCAGGCTTGCAACCCCACCGGTTTGCAAAGTGACTTTGCTCATAATATGTCGTATGGTCGCCTAGACTGTTCAAGTGAAGGTAGCTAGTGTGCAGCCGAGTCGGATCGCCACGATGGACGAATCGGATTCGGATTGTGAAATTCTTGATACCTGTGCACCAGCACGCCATACAATGCCTGTGGGGGCCTCAAGTCAGAATGTTTTAGCTTCAGATTCAATAATGAACAGTAATAAGCAAAATGAAAAGTTGAACCCCCAACTGCATACATGGCGGTGTGAAATGAGTCCTTCTTTGCTGCAGTGTCTTGCATAAATACAGAGCGCATGCCATGGCCTAGGGAAATATCAGTCTTGAAACAGCTCTGGTCCAGTGCACATGGCATCCTTGACAAGGCCTTCGACTTGGGGAAGTATGTCACGAATCCTAGCTCTTCAGCGGCTGCACCGAAAGCAGCCAATCCAGTCACTCCGAAACCAAAGTTGAGAGCGCCAACTCCAACAACTGATTCAGGCTGGGTTGTGGTGTTCGGAGAATTTCCAGGAATGAAGTGGGTATTATGGATACATTTTTTTATATGACAATGACAGCTGTAATTTTTCAAACATGCTGGACAGTGGACAGGCTTGCCTCCACGATTCAATGCCTCAACATCATCATCTGATGAGTCTCTGCAGCGCAAGCAAGATATGGACCAAAACACTCAAAACAATGAAACCAAACCAACAACAAAACCGACTGTTAAGAGGAAGCCCAAACCAAAGGCAGCCAAAAAGAAAGCAAAACGGACTGATGATGATGCTGCTGCTGATGAAACAAACGATGTGAACAAAAATAATGATGATGACGATGATCAGAAACCTGATGGGAATGATGATGAAGTAGGACAAACAAGGACAGGATCAAAGGTGCAGAAGCGTCCTGCTGGGCGTCGGGAACCAAAGAAACCAGGCCAGGGACAGCCAGGATACCATGCATATTGCCATACCTTGTGGGCAGGTCGCAAGACCCAAAGCAAGAGCAAACCGAGTGAGAAGGGTCACAAGAAGGCCTCTCTTGTCAGCTTTTTGGTTTGCGGATTGACATCTCTTAGATTTTTTGCAGGCTGAGACATTGCATGATGCTCTCACTGGGGCGGAGGTTTGCTGTGACATTACTGTCAAAGTTCAGTGAGAGCATGCAATCATTGTAGTGGGGGCTCCAACTAACTGTTTCTCTCTTGAAGTTGTGCGATGTTGTGCGAAGGACTCGTCTGCTGGCATGCTTGCTGATCTCAAGGTGCCCTCTAGGACACTGTCTGAGGCGGAGAGTGCAGTCATGTTGATTGCCAGGCCAAAGTCCGAAATTGTCGCCGCCTTGAAGCGAAGCCTGTGGTTCCACCGGTAGAGCCACCGCTCAAAGCAGAGCCACCCCTCAAGAGATTGAAGCCATTGGATTTCACTGCAGAAGTGGCGCCCGACAAGAATGATTCGTCACCAGCTGACAGTCAGGTCCAATCGGTTTTGAGCGCTGTGCTTGGAGAACCGGAAGGTAGTTTTGGCGCCGAGCTGTCGCAGTGGGAAGCTGCAACTGCATGGATGAAGTTCGCGGAAGGTGATATGGGTGACCCTGTGGAGCGACCAGTTGAAGGTGTTTCGACAGACATGGAGCGGGAGGCTGAAGGCATGTCTGCAGGTCAGCTGGCTCAAGGACCGATTGAAAGCCCAGGCTGGGCTGCACACCACTATTTTTTGTAGATGAAAGTTAGTTGTCAAGATCCACTCAGTCGTACCATCCAAGATTTGATCAGGTAGTTTTGCGAACTCCGATGCAGAGACCCTTGTGCTTCCAGGAATTCCTGTCAAGGAGTCTTGCGAAGTTTGACTTACCAGTCATTCACTGATTAGTTGGAACAGATATGTACAGCAGCTCTTGCCCAGGAACTGGTGCAGCCTTCTTCTGGCGAAGATCCTCCTCCAGAATTGCCAGCTGGTTATGAGAAGGAATGCACCATTTTCCTCATGTCTGTACTGAGAGACATGGTCTGACAGAATGGTCTAGCAGATCTGAACTGGACCTGGACTTGATGCAGGAAACCTCTGGCGCCGAGATCAAGAATGGTGACCAGGCACGTTGCTGCAGTGCAGGAAAGTTGGTGTACAGCCATTGAAACCCCATGAAGGCCTTGCAGATCATCCCTACGCCTGTTCGCAACTCGAGCAATGTCCAGGTCCGCTTTCTGTATAACATTGATTGATTCGATATCATAAATTAGCTTTCAATACCTCTATATGTCAGCGTTCATTCCATTGCTGGTTCAGTGCTGGCTGGCGCACAGAGCACTGCAGGAGTTGGGAGCGAAGCCAAAGGCAAAAGCCAAACTCGGGCAGGGCAAAGGGAGGAAAGGAGCTGGTAAGTCTGGGGATGGCAAGGCCAGGAAGGGACAGCCTCGGGACAACAAACACGGGAAGGGCCAGCCTGCAACAGTCAAGGGCAAGTCTGGGAAGGACATGTCCATGACAAGCAAGCCTGGGAAGAAAGCTAATAAGAAGACTGGTAAGATCGAGCAGGACCCCAATGCAATCCCGCGTTTTGGTTGGTGAGTTGATGGGTGCACTGTGTGAAAGTACTTAAGCTATGAGTTTGTGCGGCTTTTGGCTTTTCTTTTGGAATGGGTTGAACTTGTGCAGGAGAACTACTGGACAATGACCCGGCTGAAGAAGAATCTTCATAGTGTGAGAGTCTTGGTTGTTCTGCTGCTTTGATATTGCCATGGTTAGCCCCTTCCAGCATTTTTTTGCAGAGCAGGCCTACTCGATTGCCTATACGAAGAAGAAGTCAAGTGGCTGCACTGATCGGACTGAGCTGCGAGAAGCTGGCAATGCTGGGCGTGAGAAGCGGTTGGCAGAACTGCGGAGGGCAGGGGTGGCAGTGGCAAAATCTTTCAAGCTGAATCCCTAGAAGCTTAGCCCTCTGGGATCCTGAGTCTTTAGGTGTTGGAATGTGTAGGAGATGACTTTCTGAAATATGACATGAATCTTAGCAAGTCATATTCAAGACGTTGCTTTTTGGGGATCCTGATCGAGCCTGAAGCGGCTGATCTTTGGGCGCGATGATAGCGATGTGTTTTGCACACGTCTGCGTGAAGGGAAAAACTAGTTCATTTTTTGGCAACACTTTATCCCGCCTTCTATTTGACAAGTGTGGAAGTGTGGTCTGATGTGGACCCACCTCGTGCCAGGTCAAGCTGAGTCTTGCGGCTATCTGACTTTCACCTCTTTACATTTGAGAGGTCTTGGATAGTCTTGCGTTGAAAATAAGAGAGGCAGTGTGGAGGGAGCGTGACTGTTTACTGCACTGCAAGCCTCTTTTGGAGACAATCTCTGTCCACTGTCAACACCTCTTTTGGACATCCACTTCCTAATTGTAAAACACCCACTTCCTCCTGGAAATGCTTATACTCCATGGATGGTTGTAGCTTTGGGCTAGCCTTCGACTTTGCTCACAAGGGTTTTTAAGACTGACCTCGTTTTGGAGGAGTGCATCTTCGAATCAGTCACGGGCCGTGTGTTTCTTCAGGAATCCTCCAGAGTGTATCCACCATTTGCATCCATTTGCACCTCGGGATCGATACAACACGATAGGAACCCTTAAGGATTGCCCCTACCCATCGGGAACAGGCCTTTCGTCAGGACGGAAGGACGGGAAGGTGATGGATGAAGGTTGGGGACCTCCATGGTTGGGGCCCTCCATTTGAGTCACGCCCCAAACCGGTCTGCCCCGCAGACTCCTCTTGCAGTTGGCAGTTGACCGATAGGGTCGGTGTTGGGTCCCACTGTACTGGTACCTGATTGTCCAGCAAGGGACCGGTGATGATCCGACGCGGTGCGGAGGGGAAGCAATATGGGGGCATTCGTTTCACGTATGCTGTCAGACATTCCAAGTGTGGAACATGTAGCCAGGCAGCCAGTTTTTGGCCCCTGAAGGTACTCCAGTGTGGGCACATGTGCCAGTTCCATGTGAGTGGTTGTGAGCCCATAGTATGGTGATGTATGGTGCTTTTGGGGACCTGCGTGGGTATTCTGGGTTGTTCGGGGATCGATTTGTCCTCCAACAAATAAACATGTGATGTGACGCACCTCCATAGCAGACTGAGTGGTGCTTTCAGAGGATGTTGATCTATATAATTATGATAACCTTGAGATGATTGGTCCCATTGACTCATATACGTTTCAAGTGAGTTAAGTGCCTTCAATCCACCCACCAGCTCGACCGCGACTGCTTTGCCCGGACCAAGCTCCACTCCTCCGCACCCCGCACCCCAGGTGCATCCGGCCCTGCAAGGCCAGGACTTCCGGGAGCTCCAAGAGGGTTCCCTGGCCGATCCAAGGAGACCGGTCCTTCGGTCCAAAGCGGTCTCCGTACAACGCAGCCGGAGACACGACACGGCACGACCGAACACGGTGGACCGAGGGAGGAAACCCGTTCCGAAGGTCTCCGAAGGTCTGTTCCCAGGTGCACGGGACTGTGGGACTTGTTCCGGAGCCGGAGGAGTTCCCCCAATTTCCCACCCAACGAGCGAGCGGTGGACGAGACGAACGTCAGAGGAACGTGTTGGGACGACCAGAGAGTTCCCGAGCTGCAAAGCGCAGACGGTAGGAGTCGGGCCTGTTCAGGGGGCGGTCGTTGGTTGAAGCATCACTTTAGACAATTCAGGAGGCCGATCTGAGATACACTCATCCAATTGGTTGGGCCTTGCTTGTCGTGTTCACCTAATACAGAGGCTTGGACTGGATGGGGCTTGGACTGGATGCTTTTTGGGTGTTTACTTCATTTTGTCCTGTCAAATGAAAAGACGATGCAGAAAAGCAGTGTTCTTTTTGGGGGGATATGTTCATATATTCCTCGCTGCCATGGGGCCCCCATGTCCTCAGTGGTGGCAGTGTCGCTCCGTCTAAAGCGCAAAAACCCCAACGAGTTGAGGCCGAACCCCGCCAGAAAAAGAAAGCAAGCCAGAAGTGTTTTCATGGTTTTCCGAGCTTTTTGTTGACAGATCTTGAACAATCTTGAGACACGATGATGAGATCTGGAGTTCTTTTGAGGTGACCCGATCTTCATGACCTTTGATGGGGAGGAGATGACGTTTGACCGGAAAGCTCACAAGGTCTGCCCGTCGGATGTCGTCGCCGGCGGAAGCTGCGGGGAGACAAAGGGGCAGCGACCGGGACCTCGCCCCGTCTCGTGGGGAAGGAGACAACAGAAAGGAGGTGTCCAACATCAACCCTAGGTCCTAGGTGATGGTTTCGGATATGTTTATTTGTTCAACCCTTAGTTGGGGATGATTGGGCCGTCTGACTCATATTTTTCAAGTGGGCTGAAAACACCAACCAGAACCATTTTGGACGCCAATGCTGCAGGTGTTTGATCAGGGCCATGGATGGGTTGACCAGCGAGGTCATGCGATCTGGGACCTGGCAGTTGCTGTAGATCCTCTGGGACCTGGGCACAAGAGGATGTCGGGTATCGGTCGATCGGTACCTTAGCCACTTCGAGGATGTGAGACAGAATCTCATATCCAGAGGCATTGCAGCAAGGTGCGCTGCAGCAAAAAGCCTCAAAAGTTTGGACATCTTGTACTTAGAGGTGAAGATCCCCAGTCACTGTACTCTGCCGATGTCAGGATGAAGCACCAAACTATTGAGACTCAACATCATTTTTACCTTCAGCACCGATGCCACGGCTTTACTAACAGTTGGGTAGACACATACAAAAAACATCAAACAACATGATGTGCTTCAACCAGGGGGACTGGGCGAATGTCAGGTCGGGAACTCTGCGAAGCGTCACTGTCGGCTCAGTCCAGAGTTCCAAAAAAAACCGTGGTTTGTAGGTTATTCAATTCATTTTGATCCTCTTTGTCCTCCATGTTATGCCTCGGTGCTCTGTCCGGTGAAGCTGTCACGGAGCTGGAGGAAGAGGAGCTTCGGCAGATGCGGGAAGCAGGCCAAACGATCAAGCACCTGAAGCTGCGCCTTGCCGTTCAACTAGGACAATCGAGGTTTCAGCAAAGACTTTTTGCGGAGACGGGTGAGCTGGAGGACGAGATGCCTCTGCAGACCTGCCCGAGTCCTTGTCAAGTGCTAATATCGGACTTTCATCCCCCTGATCAAGCAGACGAGAAAGCATTGATCTGTGCATGTTCTGAGAATCGCGTCCGGGACGTTGAGAAGCTCCTCCAGACACCCTTCGATCCCAACAAGCAATTGACAGAGCTCATTCAGGCGAGTGTCCTACTTCACTTGGCAGCTTGCCACGGTCACTTGGAAGTGGTTCGCTTGCTGGTTGAGGCCAAAAGTGACACTGAGGCTCGTAATCCGGCTGGCTTCACTCCTTTGCATTTTGCAGCCACAAAAGGCCACTCAGGAGTCGTGCACTTGTTGTTGGAGGCTGGAGCTGACCAAGATGCGGTGAACAAGGATGGCTGGAGCCCTTTGCATGCAGCAGCTGAGTGTGGTCACCGGAAAGTCGTGAGGTTGCTGGTGGATGCTGGGGCCAACAAGGAGCCATTGGCAGTGAAGAACCTACTGGTGGGTACGGGAGGAAAGCCAAATTGGTCTCCTTTGCAGGTGGCAGTAGAGGAGTTGCATTTGACAGTAGTATGGGTTCTGATGATATCGGGGGCAAAGAAAGATGCTTGGTCTGTTGGAACTTTGTTCATGGCGGCCTATTGCAATATTAGCGGAATCGTGTGCGCCATTTGGTGCATGGATACCTTTTGTTGCATTTTATGCATCTTTTGCATTCTCTGCAATGTGATTCGGATATGACAAATCCATTTGCACAGCTTGTAGGCAAAAAAGGAGCGCATGCACATTGCTTGGGCCTGGAACACACCACCAACAGCTGCGATGGTGGGGCTGTGTTCTGACCTCCTTTCCCACCATTGCCCCGCGTTTTCGCGAGGGACCTCGTACGAGCCCCTGAACACATCGCTGTGTTCTTTTGTTGGGCTTGCATCGGCAAAGGACATCCACTAATAGAGTTTAAAATAGCTTTGCAGTACTTCTTGGGTAGAATACAAATTTGGTTTCTGGTGTCCTGCAGGCTGTGGAAGTGCCCGTTTGTTTCATTCATATCTGTTACTTGTTCTTTGGGAGAACTGTTTGAGGAACTGAGAGGGCACTTTCCAGCCATCATTCTTCCCAGAGGCAGTGCAAAAGAAAAAGATGTTGTTGAACAGTAAGATAGCATTTTGTTGCTTAAAGTGTTCTTGAAGACCTTTTGTTCACAGTGCAGACCTTTTGTTCAACTTGCGGCAGTGCATTGCTTGCAAGCAATAAAGCAGAAGTACCATGAGTGGACACGTGCAGGAACGTGGGTGGCCCACCATTAGCTGGAAACTCCACCATCCAGGGCCAGGGCCTGCGGTTTGGATTGCGATCATGTCAGTGGCTTCCATAAACATGTTAATCACCAGCGTCACCAGACCATCCGAAAGAGGACTTTCTCACCATAAAGATCTAGAATAGCCTCAGTTAATTACTTATGCACTTGTTGTTCAACGTGAGCCCGATGTGCCGAGTATTCACACCGCTTCGCGGCGAAGACCGCCCGCACGGAAAGCACGCTCACCATCAATAGTCCGCAGGTGCAAACGCGCACACGCTTTCAATAATGCAGTTCAATTCGTGCAGCATATCTAACATTATAAATAGTTTGATCGCTTCTCCTTTGGGAATGCAACATGACAAGAACATATGATGTCAGATATGCATTATCACTCGGGCAGCATAACTAACATCGCCAATGATTTGTGCATTATTCATCGGTGTTAAGCAAACATAAAAGTAAACAATAAACGCATACACATCAAAAGCCGTACATTCTAGAGCAAAAAAGGCTCCCCCAAGATAAAGCTTAATGAACGATCTGGCACTTGCTAGCGGTCTACGCGAACTGAGACAACACCTCAGCACCTTCGGTGCGGGCTCAATTTGTTGGCCAGACAAGTTCTGGGATCCCCAACTACATGGTAGGTCAGGACCCATCTGTTGTTTTCAAATCTTTCACGGCAAAGTGGGGTCATCTTCACATGACTCAAAGTTGGGGGCCTCACACCGGGCTTCGGAGTAGATAGGTTACCTTTAGGTTGTCTGAAAGATACAAAATATAATTACATAGCCTATCAATCCCTTTTAATATGATTTTCTAAGAAATCTATGCCACGCTTATGACCTTCATCCCCAAATAATAAAGGATAGCCACACAACCATTTATTCTTTGGGGATTCTTCTTTTAATTTTATGATATTTTTCATTCATTCATATTAATTATAGCTTTCTCCCGAAAAAATCTCTAGGTCAACTTGGTCCATTTCATATTGAAGAATTATTAATGGAAAAGGTAACCATAAGATGTAATATGAAAGAAAATGCTGTGTCAATATGATTCACGATTATGTGATAAAAACAATGGAAATAGAATGAAATCTCATAATCTGTGAATGATGGACCTTACAATCTTGGTCTTTATTAATTTTGGTCTTTGTAACATTGAGAAGAGAACTCTTAGGTTGCTTCTTTGCGGCTGAACAAAAATTTGGGGGATGGTTTCTTAACGCGGCTGAGACTCCAGGTGCCTGAGAAGTACGAGAGAGTCTACGCCTTGTTCGTGAACGAAGCGGCTTACTATGAGAAGAAGGTGGGTCCTGTCGGTTCGGTTCGGCGGTTCCGAGGAAAAGGGCGGGTGCACCCGCTCGATACATCACGTGATGTACGTCGTCTCCTGAAGGACTCATACTCGGTGCATCGAGCTCGGTGCTATACCAACATGTGAAACAGTTCATGCTCGCATGATCGGGACACTAGGAGTCGTCATCTTGCATCATGCACATCGGGTGATAACGTTTGTTCACCTCATCGATATTCCCTGCAGGTTGCCCTGATGCTAATGAGCTGCGGAGAGGCGACTTTCTCCAAGCTAGCGAGCTGAGAGCACGGTGGCCGCGCGGCCACCTGTGTGTGCGGAACGGGCAATTTTCGGTGACAGCACAACGGGCAATTTTCGCGAAACATCACAGTTGTTGACTGATCTCTGGGCTATACCAGACAAAAGTGATGTGTGATTTACCCAGACAAAAGTTTACACATAACTTTGTTGGGGGACCTGAAAATTGACATTGACTTAAGACTCTTAAGACCAAAGAACCTGTATTGGGTCGGTCTATTCCAGGGTTCAGATACCATGGTTCTGGGGCGGCCAGGAGGCCCAGGTCATTTGGAATAAAGCCTTAGTGTACAGCCCAGCTGATATGTGGTCGTGTTTTGCCAGGTTGATTGCTATATATTGTTTGCTATGTTTGCTTTAAGGTGGGTGTGTTGGGATATGTTGGGGTAGCCGGTGATCGGTTGAAGCTAAGAAACAGCCTAACTAGTATTTCCTACTTGTTGTTTCTGTCGGAAACAGAGTACTACAGTATGACCCCTTTTTTCCATGCCTTTTGCTGTCGCCTTTGCGCTTGCGCTTGTTATAGATTAGATCTTTCACAGTGTTCTTATGTTTTCTGGATTCTGGGTGGCAAGGCATTCGCTGCCGCGGTTGAAAAAAGTAAGAACCATCCGCAGCTGAGCTCATCTCCGACCGAGCTCGCTGGTGAAGGACCACGTGCTCGAGTCGGATGGTCAGATGTATTTAAAGGATACAACACGGATCTGTCAAAGTGAGAAAGCTCGAGTTGATGGCACCCCAGGCTCATGAAAGGATCCCTGCTATAAGAAGCACTCGTAGTACTTGCTGCTTGTTTGGGTTGAGTTCGCATTGGGTTCACACGGGTGCTTGGTCAGTCTAAAGAGCTTGAATTTGGCGTATTTGCGCAGTGAAACAGACGTCAGGCCACCGCTGGACTTGCTCTTCCTGGTTTTTCTTCTGCTGTTATGTACTGTCCTGTTTCTTTATTTTTTTGTGGCATATGATGGCATAATTATTGCCCTTGTGCTTTTGCTTTTTGCTTTCTATGGCCTCAACCGCAATGGAACAAATTTCGTAGATAAAAACACAGACCCTTTACAGTATAAATTTCTGCACTTCAGAACATAAACCATTGGAGCCACCAAACGCTTTTTTTTTAATATGCGTATATGAATTCCTGATCAACATCAAAACCAAAGTCAAGAACAAATACATGATCAATCAATCTATGAACCAGTGACGACTCTCTTCCGCATCAGACAGAGATTCCTTCGAACTCCTCATCAATTGCCTCTTCTATCTACTCCGAGAAGCCGGGCAAAACACCGCAAAAGGAAGCTGGGTATCAGCGGACGAAAATCGGAGCCATCACAGGGAAGTCATGAAAGGAAGGCAACAACAAGCAGCAAATCTTCAAAAAACGGCCCCAACACGAAAGAAACATCCGAAGCTATTCACACTCAAATGATTGTTTTTACTCATACGAGCACTCGGTCGACAGATTACAGATGATTTTTACATGTTTTCACGGTTTGTTTAAACCGATTGCAAAAAAAGAAGAGACATGTTTTTTAGTATTTTGTTGAACTGTTCGCAGTGTGAGCTTGCATAGGGAAAGCAGGGGAGAGCAGAGAGATCAGAGTGGAAAGTCATTTACATTTTTCCCCCTACTGTTCTGAGTCCAATAGGAATTCAATGGATTTCATTTTGGATTTGGGGTTTGAACTTGGAGGATTCCTAGGGGAGGATTGAGGATCCAACAAAGATTTGAGGCTTATTTTCTGGGGATTTGGACTTATGAGCGAGTAGGCTTTTAGAATTTTCTGTTTTGAAGCACTGAAAGGGAGACAAAGGTGCCGACAGCCTTTTATAAGTGTCCAAAGTCCAATTTCCCCGTTTTTTTTAAAAATGTTTATACTGCTTCAAATGTTTCAATTGTTTTCTACGAATCCAGCCTCGCCTGAACTACACAGGGGCAACACACATTTATTATATACATATTTGATCATATCGAAAGCTTTGTTCTACCTCCTTCAGGACATGAAACGCCATAAGAGGCACCTTGAGTTTGTCTGGTGTAGGCAGTCGCTTAAAATTTTGTTAGTTCCAGAGGTGAAGGATGCATGGGAGATGGAGCACCACGACCCAACCTCCGCAGCCGAGCTGGCTATGAGCGGCCAGGGGCCTCGCCCGGGTTGTGTGGCCAGGTGCCCGGGCTAAGATGCGTCGAGTTTCGACATATGTCGGATCTCCAAAACAACAGGAACCAACAACATCCAAAACAGAAGCTGGCCGATGGAAAACATTGTGATACAATGTAATATTCGTAGAGTTCAAATATGTTGATATTGTTTGTTGGACAACATTGTCATAGGACGGGCGATTGTGTGTCCCTGAAAAACCCTGAACAATTGTATACACATACCGTTACATACCAGGACCATCCAATGGGTGTCCAATGGGTGCCCTGGCTAGACTACCCTACACTACTTAGGGATCTCCAGCCAGGAACCCCAGGACAAAATAGTCCAGGCATAGATTATGTGAACTATAGTATATCCATATACCAGCAGTCACAAAGGAATGCTTTTTGATTTTTTTTTGAGATCTTCTAAGTGAGTGGATAATGGGCACCCCTTTGATGGTCATGTTTTGGAACATGAGAAAAGATATCTTAAACCGAGTTGGAGGCCCAGCAACGACCAGACGCTCCTGAACTGGTTCTACCACCGCAACGGCGGCTTCGAGCCGCTGCCCGAGGCCTACAACCGCGTCCCGCGGCCCGGCGCCGAGGACGCCGGCGACGCCGCGGTGGTGTACTGGGCGCTGCACCCCAAGCCCTGGGCCAGCGACGGCGCGCCGCTGGCCGCCCTGTGGTGGCGCCTGGAGCGGGAGGCCTCCGAGGCCACCGCGCGGCGCGCGCACCGATAGCCTGCGCCGCCGGCCCGCAAGGAAATCCGCACATGGCCGCGGACTGCAGCGACGCGGCGGCGCGACCGCAACCGCGCAAAAAAAGGGGGGTTCCGGCGCCGAGCCCGGGCCGTGCGGCGAGCCCCGCGCTGGCCGCCATGCTGGACTCCGCGCTGGAGGTGCCGCCCGCCCGGCGCGCCGGCCGCCGCCAGCGGGGCGGCAAGAAGCGCAGGGGTCAGCCTTCTACAAGTTACCCAAGACTCTACGACTCTCGTCCGATGGAAGTCAACACCATTGCTTGATTGCCCAGATAATGTTATTGCAGAGGCACAGGCGTGTCTGCATGCAGTGCAATTAGCCACTGAATTCTACCATGAATGCCTCCGACAAGGAATAGCACAGGATGGCGTAGTTCTTCAAGGCGACATTCTGCCCCTCCTGAATTATTTACAAGGTCGTGGTCGTATCAAGAGACTTGCAGTCGTGAAAATCCTAGAGGAATGCCAGTTGCTGCTGGCGAGAGCCCCGTTCATTTTCCGGCTAGTTTATCTCCCAAGAGAACGCAACAAACTTGCTGATCACTTTGCGGGCACTGCTAGTGCAGCTGCACGACAAGCTGCTGACTCCCCATTACACGCTGTCAGTCATCGTGCACCTCCTCCGTATCACCTTGCACAGAAGCTTGGCTTCATCGTCGATCATGGGGCTTTGCACACACATCCGGCCTTTGTGCTAACAGAATGCCCTGCACCGGCTCCACCGCAGCTTGCTAAATTACTGCAAAGTGCAGCACACATGCGTCAATACGTACAAGACTATCTTGCTACTGCAGCGAACCATCATCGATCCCTCACCATAGGGTATAAGACCTCCTCTGCCGATGGGAAAGGCCGTTTCTATGCGGTAGGGGTAGCTGCAGCCCTCAGCTGAGCTGAGCATTCATTGCAAGTCTTATCAATTGACAGCACAAACACAAACATGGCGCAACCATGGGTCGGATTCCATGAAGCTTACACATTTCCTGGAAGCTGATGTAAGCTTGTCGAAGGCGCTCATCAACATTGGACCCTGTCCACACCAAATTTGTTCGGGTGATCTCGACGAGTGCCTGACTCAATCCCCCTGCGCACCGCGCAAATGGTTGGTTTCCAAAATGTCTTTTCCCAAAAAGGTGCACTCGTCGCAATTCCATGGGGGCCCGCTTCTAAATCTCCTTTAAACTTCAACCACACTCAAACCACAGTGATGCTAAAAACATGAAGGCGTGTGAACTGCAAAAACTGTGAGAGGTGTCTAGCGCGGACTGCTGAGATGCTGTTGCTGCTGCTGGACTCCTGCAGTTGTTTCCACTTTTTGATCTCAGAAATCTTCAGAACGACATAATTAGGAAGGACGTAAGAGCTGACTCAAAAGATTTGGATGTTGGATGGGCAAATGGTCAAGAAATGGACGGTCGTCTAGCGCGGTGCTAGCGCGGATCTAGCGCCAGCCTAGCGCAAAAATCTCCGTCGATTTCTTTATCCTGTCAGATTCTTATTTTTCGCGCTTGCTTGTCTTCTTCTTGTTGTGCATTCTTCTTCTTCTTCTTGGCTTTTCTTCTTTCTTGTCTTGCTTCTTCTGTTTCCTGCTCTCTGCTTGTGTCTTCTTTTTCCTGCTTGCTATCCTGTTATCAAGAAACCTAGCGCCAATCTAGCGCTGCATCACCATATTCTGCTGGGGGCCCGCTTCTAAACGAAAACTTAAAAACACATCTACAGCCTTAAAAGTTTACGTCTATCTATATTTTTTGAGTAGGGCTTTTTTGAGCGCAGTCCATGTGTCGCCATGCAAAAGCACAAGGGAATAGTATGGTTCGAAAAGGTGGATGATTGAGTTGAAGAAGGCACAGCTGCAGGAAAACATGTTGTTTGCCAGCAAGCGTCTTTGAAAGCGGATCTCACCCACTGGTTGGACGCAAGCCTTAAATCACCGCCCTCCAAGAGTTGGCTTTCATGCTTGACGGCATTCACATCCACTCTCTTGCGCAAGCAAGCATAGAACATCCTCGGAATATCTCGGAATACTTGGGCCCAGGTCCAGAACAACAAAGAAACACTACTGGCCGGGACGCCTCAAGTGAAAATAACACAAATGTTGCCAAACATGGCCAGTAGTCCTCCATGGACTTTTCGAAGGACCCCAGCATCAGCCATGGCTCTGTGACGCTGGTTATAAGTGAGGTTGACCCAGCTTGATCTACGAGACATACCATATGTTTTACAATCTGGTGTGGCATGTTCCACCTGTGGGTTTGGTGATCTTGCAAGAGTCCGCACCCAAGCTCTGTCCCCCGAGCTCCAACGGCAGGTCAAGCGGAAGATGCCTCTGCTGAGCAAGGGGTGGTTGGTGGAGACGTGTACCAGGGTTCATGCTAACAGGAGTGGTTCATCCCAGGACTTCCATCAGAAAAGAACTGAATTTGTGTCACCCCTACCACATGTCAGATGTTATCACCAGCAGTCACAAAGGAGTCTTAATTGAACACCCCCCCTAAGGAGCGCTCTATAGGCACCGCTTCGTGACTGCTGGTATATATATATATATCTTCAGGTATATCCATTAATATCCATATCCATATATATATATAAAACATGCATCACCTGAGGATCGTCCTGGCATCTCCTCCAAACAGCTTGATGTTGGAACTCCAGGTTGCACCGTGGCTTTCTCAAACAGACCCGTTTTTCCTCGTCAGGGCATGGCCGAAGAGGGAGCGCAGGTGCTGAAGGCGTGGCAGAGGAAACGGCACTGCGAGGACCACTGGGAGATGACCGGGTTGACCGGGCGGGGAAAACCTGGGGTTCTTGGAATGGGTAGGTAGACTGTTTTGATCTGGGCAATGTCTACTAAGCAACCAAAAAGCGAGATAACATTAGGAAAGCAGGTTTTGTTCTGTTCTGAACGTCCGCACAGACACAGAAGGGGGGGTTGTCTCAAATTGGAGAGACCTTTTTTAACATATTAGCGGGTTTGGTTTAGGTTGTTTTCATTCCAGTTACTGTATACATTGTATATAATGTTATGACTGATTGGCGGTTTTCCAGCCATGGCTACCAAGTGCAGGAGCCTGGAATATCGACCCGCTCGCGTGGCGAGACGCAGAGTTGCCATTTGCGAGATTTCAGACGCAGAGTTGCGAGATTTCAGACGCTCACAGCGATTGGTTTGTCAAGGTATCATGGACGTGACCAGCTCGAGGCTCACAAGGCACTTTTGGATCCTCGCGACCGTGATTCTGCTAATTCATGTGCAATCAACAAGGCTGGCTGGCAGCCAGCAAAGCAATCAAACGATTTTGTGAGCAGGATCAGTCTATCGTTCTCAGCCCAGTGCCACAATGTTCTTGTCCCATGTCATTTGCTTGAGAGCCCTTGCGATCGCTGGCACTCGTGTGATAAAACTTAGCATCAAACGGGAGACGAAGCAACCAACCGCAAGGCCTCACCCTGGCAAATCTAGATCCCGTCCATGAAAACCTGCGAGAATCTGTGATGGACATCGATGACACTGAGTAATTCACCTCTCTCAATGACCGTTTTCGTTCGGATGTCAGCACGAGATGGCGCATAGAAAAGGCGTTTCAGGTGCAAGATGCAGAACTTGGTCCTTCCTGTCCTCCTTGCAATTCGGCCAATTGAACATACTGTGCCTCGCTTCCCAGGTTTTGCCTTATATCAGAACCTGTTCAAGAACTGGCAGCTGGAGTTTGGATATGAAGCGCCATCGGAGCGTCGCAAAAACGTCATGCGAAGTATAGTGGTTAAAAGATAAGTTCGAACCTCCAACCCATGTTCATCGAAGCCTCCATTTACTGAACCACCAACGCAAATTGTCATCCCTAAAACTCAGGTCGTCGTACCTCTTCAGGTTTGGTATGACTGGACCCTTCTGGCCCCAAGGCCCCCAGTCCCACCTTCTAAACGAAGGTACGACTGGAGCCCTGGGGCATGTTGGCAGTTGGAGTTTACGGATGTCTTGATCCTGACCCTCGCTGCGATCCTGATCTTTCGTGCCTTCAAGCACGCGTGGGCGGCCAGACCGGGTTTGAAGGAGCGTGGTTTCCGGGTTTTGTGGGGTTTTGCTGGTTTTTGCGTTGGTTGGAAAGACAAGGATAGCCTCCATGAAGTAGCGTTGGGTAGACTCTTGATATCTCTTGATTAGACACTTCGAGTGATCCCCACCATGACATTTCAATCTGACAATTTTTTTGGGCATTTATTGAAACATTATTTCGGCATTCTTTCTGGCATATATCTTCTGGCATTCTTTCTGACATTTTGTTCCGGCATATCTTCTGACATTCTCTCTGAGACTCTGGCATATCGTCTGACATTATTCCATTTGATATTCTTTCTGGCATATTTTATGACATTCTTTTTTGACACGCTTTCTAGCATATCTCCTGACATCCTTTCTGGCATATCTGCTGACACTCTTTCTGACATCAGTCTGAATAGCATTGAAATACATTGAAAATCTGAGCAAACTGCTGGGCAACATGGTTTGGGGCACCTGAAGAGTTCTGAAAAGACATACTACAACGTCTTGTTTCCAGATGAAGTTGTAGCCCTGCAAGCCCCACCTCTTCAGGTGGCAGTGCGGGATGTTCTCCTGGGCCGGGGCAGGTGTTTCCACCTCAACTCACCTCAACCCACCTCGCTCCTTCCCGGTCTTTCAACTGGCGCTGGTTCCTGTCCCCAAGACGTCCCCTCCGCAGGAGCAGTGACGCAGCGTCTGACGCGGTGAACACACCGCCTGACGCCGGAGCACAACCCACCGTTTGGCGTGGGTCGTGGCCCGTTTCGCCACGAGGAAAAGGGGCGGTGGATCGCAACAGATCTGAGTTCTGTGAGGAAGATCACATCGTTTTCTTTTGGCAATATTTGGCGATGGTGTCTTCGGATGACTCTGAGACAGGAAGTTTCAGAAATTCTTGCGCATGCCCCATGGATTGAGGGTGATTGAGGTGAGCAACTGGCTCTAATGTCCCCTGTCGGTTCCCAAATGGATCCAAATGGGTATACGGATGTATACGGAAGAGAAATGCCTGTCTAAGACTGGTAGGTTGATCTCCCATGACAAAAATGCACTCTCGAGATAGAGCAGTGACATCCCCTCTGAAACGAAACATCGTTTCTATTTGAGAACATCTAGATAGAGGAGTCCTCCATGACTCCTGACGCAATCACACGGTCCGGTCGCCCGCGGACTGTCTCGGTTCCAGTGGACGTTTGAGATCCGTCGCCATGTCGTTCTCATCACGCCGGGCTGCACAGAACTCGTTCGATCCACGAGAAAGCTGAGGGACCAAGCGATCGTTCACCCCGGGCTGTGCAGGAGGTCTTGAAAAATTACACCAGATCAAGTCCAAGTCCAATGGTTTGGGTGATGTCGACTGTTGACCACAGGGTAGTGGGTGTTGGAGATATTGACATGGTGCACTCATTTTTGCAATGACCAAATGGATTGGCATCCGCCTTTGAAGGTGTCTTGAACCTAGCTAGGCCCTGTGTGTATACCTGTTAGCGACTCCAGACTTCAATCTCCAGGCTTGACTGAGTGGAAATCCCGAGGACCCACGCTATGAACGTGAGATTACCTGCATGGACACTTTTGGAAGATTTGGAAGGAACAGAAGCCCAATTACATCGAGGATTCATAGACCAATGACATAAGTTGAACATATCCAAGCTCTTTGACACCGGAACTCGCTAGCGATGGAAGTGGCTCACGGTGACACCTGTGGCACCTCGTGACATCTTCTTCTTTGGTAGTAAGATTGGGACCGCTTGCCACATGCAAAAACAAACGACATAGGAAGTTTTGTGTCCTGTGTTGGAACCGAGACACCAATGTGAAGCGCCTGAATTCTTCCCATCTGGGACGTTATGTCATTTTGGTAGCTGGACATCCCCAGTAGTCTGTTCTGTTGATGTTCGTTGGTCAAGCAAGGCCCCATGAGGTCTCCGGGTGTTGATCGAGACTGGCGACCGGAGAACGACGGATCGCCCTCGCAGCGCGAGCTTCGTCCCAGGCTTTGCAAGCGTCGTGAAGACCTGGGTGCCCAGGTGGGAAATACCCGCCCTGTTTGGTCGGTGAAACGCACATGATACAAAGACCCCCAAATCTGCACGACGGAAAAGAAAGACAGGACCTTTTAACCACCTTGGGGGGGAGATCATTCAACCTGCCAAAAGCGGACCATGGTGGCGAGTCAAGCTAATAGCGATCGCCTCCGGCCTAGTAGCGAGTGCCTTCCGGACTTGCTCGAGCCAGGGCACCCATGGTCCTCGGCCGCCTGCCCGCGAGCGGTGCCCCAGTGGCGCTCCGGCGCTTCAGCGTGCAGGCAAGCGGTCGCCAGCCGGTGTTGGATTTCAATCTGCCAGAGTTTCATCCTTTGCAGGCAGAACTTTCCACTAGCTTCTTGTTACTACTAGTAAGGCACTTGTTACTAGTAGCGATGCACTTGTTCCTAGCAGCTTCTTGCAGGCAGGTGTGAAACTGAACTCTTTTGATATTTCCCCAGATAGCTGCAAGCTATGGAGGTTCTTGGCTCTGGATCGCGTTTTGTTTTGCCCGTGCTGGTGCTGGTGCTGGATCGGCGTTTTCTTGAGGCGTGCTGGTGCGGGTGCAGGTGCTGACGGGTGCTGGTGATGGATCGTCGCTTTCTAACGGGGGTGCTGGTGTGGCGTATACTTCGGGTGTGTTGGTGCAGGTGCTGGTGTCATGCCAGGGATGACATCTGTCAGGGCAGCAGGCACTATGAGTTCAATACACCTGCTAGCTGCTATCTGAGGACTATGCCGGTCCATTTCCAACTTTGATTAAAACGTTTCAAGGGTGACCGGAGAACCGAGACTTGTTGTCCAGAGAGGCCTGTTATAGCTTGTTATACCCCTTGGCCCTTACAGTGGCTTCAGAGTAGATAGCATAATCCCCCAAGTTTGGTGGTTTAGATGGACCTCTATATAAAAGACATCTGGGGGGTTGTGCCACCATTCTGAGACCACTGTAAGCGGTTGCATGGTTTTGCTGGGCATCAATCTGTTTGATCATCGCCAGGCTGAGACCGAAGGTGCAAGAGTACCCAGGACTGGTGCCTTGCGGATGTCAACGAAACAGGAACGAACACCGTGTTGGTTGGACCCACCCCCCCGTGCCTTCTACCGAGCCTGTTTAGGACGATCGCAGAGTTGTGCGGAAATCAGTATATAGAAGGGATGGTTGAAAAGGGCCGGGTCAATGTAGGAAAAAACATGGGCACTGGTGTGTTTCTTTAGTTGGGTAGTGCTTTTCAATAATGGTATATACTGGGGTATATTCAGTACTTGGAGAGTTTGTATATGGACCCTAGAAGTCGAACCACCATTGTTTTATTAGCCTTTACCGATCCACCATTGTTTTACTAAGGGAACCAGGGCGGAGTTAGATATGGAAATCACCCACGCTTCAGCCTGGGACCGACGATCCGCCGTGGACACGAGGAGTATGGAGGACACCGTCTCGGAACAGCGACAGGTGCTGCGGCTTTTCGTGACTGTTACAGTGCCTGTGGTCAAGCCGTTGTACCTTTTTTGGGGTAAAATGAGGCCCGTTCCAGGGAATGTGGTTGCGGAGGTCGCACTGACTTTTTTTGCGTTTGAACCATTGGGATTTTTTGGCGTTTAAACCGGCGGGATCCGGTGTGTGTGGCAGTGAGCACGGCGTATCAAGCAGAGGCTCTTATTGACATGTCAGGCTGGTCCAAACTTCCATGTCCAACATCAGCGCCAGAATTATCCTGTTGTCATGTTCTCATATTTTCTCAATGACATGTTTTGCCTTGAGGCCACCATTGTTCAATGGAAACGTATTTCTGAAGAAATATGAAGACCTGATATTTGCAGGACAAAACAAGGTTGCTTCTTCCTACTCACCAACAATATTGAACAAATGCCAGGTACCATCCTTTTTTTAGAGATAAAGTGGTTTTCATTGTGAGAAAGCATTGTGTACCAGCATTAGAGAACATGTTTGTGAATGATTATATAAGTAAAACATAGTAAAACAATAATAAGTTCATAGAGACACATTCTCCGGATGCCGACAGAGGCATCAAAAACAACAACTTGTATACAGAGAGAATAGTGAACGGCACAAAAACATTTTATGGAGAGAAGACGGGAAACAAAAAACAATATATATATAATATATTGTAAAGCAGTTGTGAATTGAAGCCAGATCCCCTCGAGACTACAACAAGTTTTTCCGTTTTAAATATACATACCTAGAACCTGAGTGACCTCTATTTTGGACCATGAACCACCCAAAATATGGTCTTTTCCTATCAAAACAGAGGTCAAATGGGTTCTAGGTATATATATACATACATACATACATACACATTATATACGATTAAGGAACACAGGAAAACTCCTCTAACAATTGTTTTGTTTTTCAATCCTGACCCAAAAACATCAAGATCCTCAGAAAAAGTTATACAGAGAGGACTATGTTTAGCATGCTTATCTTAGTTGTTAGCATTTTATCAATGTTCTCAGAGTCACACGCAGCTTATCACAGCTTATTTAGCACAATTTTCTCTAATACATACCCTCGGTGGTACCCACAATATTGTCATATCATATCTATAACGTGGCTGACACGACCCCTCATATTGGATGCTTGCGATGATATTCATGATATTTTAACTGCATTTTTGGATGACAAGCCATATTATATATAGTATTATTTATATATACTGGTAACTCACTTCAGCTTAAGAATCAGAGCATTGGCTACGGACACCGGAGCATAGCGGCGTGATGAGCAGACGAACACACAGGTGCTCTTTCCCAACGCTCAGAAGCTTGAGGAAGCCTGGCAACAGAAGGACAGCGACTGATTCGGGGAAATCCATGCACAGCGAACACACAGGTGCTGCTCCGTGGTTCTATGGCACAGGTGCTCGGATTGGGAAAAATAACACTCACGGGTCACAGTATTTAAATGAAATGCATGGGTCATCACCCGTGGTTCCGGTTTTGCATTCAGATTGGTCAGTCAGACATTCTAGAATAGAAGGCCACTTTCAGACGCGGTCGGTCAGGAGTTAGGAGAAAAGTTGCCTCGCGGAACGCGTCTCAACAAATCCATGTTCACAGCCATTGTACAGGTCCCCCAAATAGAAAGGCACGGTTTCCAATACATAAGTTCGAGGGGATTCACTCACTGGGGATCACCGTCGACGTCTATCCAGCCAGATTCGGCCGGGTGTCCACCACGCGGTGGAGGGATTCGGCCAGCAGGTGAAGCAAGTGGGGAAGTAGTCGCCAAGGCGATCTACAACTGATAGAATCATTAGAACAAATTGTTCACATTCAATTCAAGGAAACAAATGGATTCATTGACTTTATACCCTAGGCCTCCGTAGCACTGAGTGCAGTGCAATGAATAACCCAAATGTTCCCTTTGTTTGCTTGCATGAATCCTTCTTGGCCACTTCAGTACATTTTTTACCTAGGTCCAGATTCATAGAAGTAGGACATATACAGCCCCAGGTCCATTCATATATATGTTCCATTTATATACGGCCCCGCAAAACGGAAGCGATCCATTTGCAAGATGCCAACCGTATTCTTGGGGCACGAACGGGTAGTTTGGCCAGTTTGGCTCATCCGAACATGTGCCCATCAAGATAATATGGATTGAACAGTATTAATACTGTAAGTACTTTAGTTTAAGTAAAACATGTTCATTGCTCAAGGTTTGGGCTCATGAAGTACAGGTTTGGGCTTTGTTTCGATACCCAGAATGTCCCAGTGACGTCCAATTGGTCGTCCTTCTGAGAGGTGAGTGTTGGGGCCTTACATGAGCAGAGTTAGTAGCGGACGATCTACCAGTTTGCACCATCCACTTCTTCCATCCAGCGTGTACCGATGGAAGTGGATTCATGTCGGACTCGAGGACCGGAGGACTGTCCAATCCTGCACAGATAGGGACGTGATAGGGGTTAAGCATGGTTAAGCAAACATATACCCCCAAATATATAGATAGAAGTTGGTAGATCCCCAAGTAGAACACGTCTTGGAAATCCGCGCCACTATGCTCTTCGTCCTACGATCCACGGGAGAGAAATCACCACCTGCATGAGGGCAATCTGCGCACGCCTATCTCGCCCGCGAATGGGCCCGCCGCGAGGATGCCGCAAGGCAAGCAGCCTCAAAGGCTGAGGACTGGTCTCCCAGGCAGGAAGTGTGGACACGGATACGAATGCGGGCAACTGAGTAAGATTGAAACAGAGGATGAGATGAATGAGATCTATACCAACGAGTTTTTGTGCAAACAAAACGGCTGAAGCAGGTGAATGTGCCGTCGCACGGTAGGGGTCCGGACTGATGGTCCCGGTTTCGAAACTGCTGTCACTACAAGCTGCACGACGTCATACTGGAACGCACGAAGCCGGTATCCTGTTGGTGCTTAGCCAGCGCAAAGGAAAAACGGCAATAACTCCTGAACTGGTCCAACACCCGCAGACCATCCAACACCCCGCAGAAGGCTGACAGAGGCGTGTCTCATAAAGTCCAAACAGGAGAGTCCGCAGCCAGAGAGCTCCCGAGGGGAGGGCCGTGCGCCAGGCAGTTGCCCTACAAGACCTACGAGAAGGACGGCTCCTTAGACGACAGCGATGAGGAGGTGGAGGTGCACGCCGCGGACGCCGGAGGGCGCGACGATGAGGGGTGGAGAACCGGAATTTGGGCAGATCACCGAGGCCGTGGATTTCGACCAACAGCGGTTTTTCAGAACCCGAACTAGGCAATCCCAGCTCGGTACCCTGGTAGGGTCAGGGTCCTAGTTCATGTCACTTATATAACCTCTGTTGGGAATGGTTTTGATTTCTTGATATTTCTTGATTCCTTCCTTCAGTGTGGAACTTGAAGCGCCGAGCATGAAACAGGAACCAGCGATCTAGTGTGAAGATAACACAGGTTCAGGTCAGTTCCAGCATCTTCAAACATCAGGATATATCAGGATGGATTATCAACCGAACATCATTGAATATGTTGCACTGCTGGCAAACTTTGAGGGTTTGCTTGCCACCATCGGGTGAAGCTTGGCCAAACTCGCATCACCAGTTGGTGCCGAACCATCTTTTTACCCGGAGAGGTTCAGAACAAGCTTTGGCCCAGGTCTGGCTAGAAGACAGCAAAGCCCTGGTAGGGTCGAAAGCTGGGTGCCTAAAGCCATGTCCAGAAATCCATCAACCAATGTCCAGAAATCGATTCACGGTGCCTCCGATGGGGGGGCACCGGCCAATTCGCCTCAGTTTTCGCCCCAGCCAAAAAAACGGCCTCACTCAGTGTAGCCTCAGAGATCCAACCAAACTCTTCGCCCGAACACACCGCCCGCGCAGCTTCCGCGCACCCGTCGCGAGCTCCGTGTCGTCGAAGCGTTTGACTCGCCCCCCGGCAGGCCAGTCCACGGTCGGGGTGTGGGTTAGAGCCGCACGCGATGCGGATGTCTAAAGCGAGCGCTCGCCCTTCTGTCAGGATTTAGTGCAAAAAGTCAAACACAAGACATAGGTCATGAGCCTTTGGATAGACAAACTGCAGAAATACAGCCTAGCCGAGCTTATTGACTTCCACAAACAAGTCCTTTAGTCCTAATCTCATTAATTGGACCAGTTGGGGGCATGTCTGGAGTAAAGATGAGTAAAGAGAACACCATGACATACGGCCACAAGCCGTATCTCACTTCAGCCCTAGAGCCTAAGTCATTAGCCCCAGTATATTCCTTGGAACCTCAAGGGCCTCGAGGAGCCTGTCTAGATCCAAGATGGTCTGAAACGAAACGGATGAAGTGTCAGTAACTGTCGGTACTTTGACAAACGCACAGGTGGAGGAGGATGGCTTGGAAGTGGGTGTCGAGGAGGCTGGTTGGAGCTGCGTGACTGCGTGACTTTTTGGATGTGTTTGCTGACCCAGGAAGGATGCGGATCACTTGCAGGTCACCTGAAGGATGGGAATTGTTGTTTTCCCAATCGGGGAAAGGTTATGGTCACTGAGGGAGTCAGTGGACGCGCGACCACAAGATGATCCCATTGGTTCCGTGATGTTCCGTGATATGAACATGAGGATGGCCATGTTTCGCCATGTTCCACTGCCAGGGATGTTGTTGCTTTCGACTTCATCTCACTTCATCCCGCTTCCATTTCCCAGGCTCCATCCATTAAAAGATGTCATTATACGTGCAGGTGACGTGACGTACGTATATGATCGTATACATGGGTTCCATCATATATACCGTTCGGGCTCCAGTCGTACCTCCTCAGGTTCGGTATGACCGGAGCCTCCAGTCCCCGGTCGTCCCACCGAAGCGATACGCTACGACTGGAGCCCAAACGGGTATGGCGGATCAGGTCCACTCGGCCGGGCACCGCCTTTCGGGGCACCGATGGCGTGTTCTGGCACCTGCCGATCGGCGCGTTCGGGCGAACATCCCATGGTACGTGCCGATCGCACGGCGTGTAACCATGTGTAACCTATATATGTCCAGTTCGATAACCTATAGGAACTGGACATTATGACGATGTTGTTTTCTTTGTTTTTTGGATTCACCACCATGCGGATGTTCTGCAAAACTGCTTCGCCATGCCAACCTGCATGCTGAAGCGCCCCCTCAACCCGTTCATTGGTCATCCACCATCCCAGTCTTCACGGGACCCGAGCAGAGGGCCTTTCTCGACCAGGTGGGTTTCAGATACAATGGCCCTGAGCCCACCAGCTTTGGAGACTGGGCACATAAGGGCCGAGCACGGGACACCCAGAAGGATGGGGATCTGAGAGCACGGGGGATTTTTGAAGGGAATCTGAGGGAATCAGGGAATCTCCTTCAGGTCTCCGACGATGTGCCCAATGGAGATGACAGAAAGTGGCAGGTGGTGACCATACTTCACCTGCTGATTTGTTTGCCGATGTGCCGATGTGTCACACAGTGTAGCAAGGACTTGTGAACCATTCCAGAGTCGCTCGGACTCATCGTTTGCGGACAAGTCCATTTGCTCGAAAGCCCGTCCACACCTCTACGCTTGCAATTAGCATGACATCAGGTCTTGCAGGATACCCACCAAGCTCCTGTGGAATCCGAGTCTTCATATGCGATGCTTCAATTTTCTTGAACCTTGCATACATGATTGTGGGTGTGTTTTGTATTCTATGTTTTGTGTTGCTTTTGTCTGTATATGTGCGGCCCATTGTATCATGTGGTTTTGCTTTGGGCGTTGCTTCCTCAAAACCATTCAACCTTCTTGTCTAGACTATGAATCCAACTGGGCAAACCTTCACCATACTGAAGCAATATATTTATAATCCCCGTTGCTACGAGCTATCTAAAAAGATCTAAAATGAGTGTGGTCGACCACGGAAAAGACATTTTTTTTTGACTAATTTGGTTTAAATGTTAAGTTATTTAAAATGGGTCTTAAGTATATAAAATGGATGACACGGATGAACTCTTTGCACAGTCAAGTTAGCCAGTCAAATTAGCCAGTCACGACAGAAAGTGGTTTTATGTTTGTTGTCCACGTCCAAGTTCAAGTTGTGTGCAGGATGCCTACATCGTATTGCATGTCTTGAGAGTTCCGGCTTTCGTGTTCAATCAGTAAAGTCAATCGCAAACAGCATCCATGGCCTGATAGATATACCTGTCCCCACGATCAAGACCGGGCAAGCCGCCTTTGTGTTCATCCACCTTCAAGCCAGGCTATAGCCAGGTTTGGTGAAATTATAGAACATATGACCAGATGACTCGAGGCTTTTGGTTTCCCCTGCGACCAAACTCGGGCGGACACCAGCACCTTCTTCTGAAGGTCACGGACTTCTGAGCCGAGAGCAGTTGCGGGTTCTTCGCCCCGGTGAGAAAGGAACATTGGCAGGAATGCTCCCAATCAATTAGGGTTAGGGTGTCTTAAATATTAAATATCCTTAAATATTTGTAAATTAAACTATACCTTTTAATGGTTCATTAGGTCATTCTATTTCCCCCAGCTGGGAGACTTCAACAAGACCACTCTATTCGACCAACATGGATATGGAAATGGGTTCAATTGTCCCGGACTGCCACTCTCCAAGTCATGAGGACTGCCACTCTCCAAGTCATCTGGGGGTTTCAGGCCATTGCCAGGTAGCAGTGATTTGAAAGATTCCTGATTTGACCCAAGGATGTAGCCTTCAACCCTTGAACAAAGTAATGATGCTCTTCCTGTAGAGGGTCCCTTCTTTCACCACAGAGGTGAAATGCGCCATTTCACCGTTTCACTTCGCCGTTTTCGCGGCCGTGACGTCAAGCTGTCCCCTTTCGCTGGGCTGCGCAGACAGAGAGGCTGCGCATCCCAGAAGAGAACAGCTGAGGTTGTGGCCCTAGACCAAAACCCAAAATGATGTCAAAACAGCTGCTGTCCGAGCTCAGTTGTGTGTTTTTTTTTTCCGTATATTGTGTGTGGTTTACTACCATGATTTGCCTGAAATCCCCCTGGATGAGGGTTGGTTGCTTTTCGTTTCTCCAAATCAGTTTCCGGATTCTTATCCTCCCAGGAGTCGACCAGGAACATCTCCCTGAACTGCAGCCCGTTCTCGGCCCATTCTCGGCCTTGGGGCCGAGCCGCTGGGCGTTTTTGTGTTTTTTTTGTTTCGAGTTTCCCGCCATGAGCAGCGCGCTCGATAGGCTGGCGCGCGAGTGACAGCTGTGAAGGAATACCAACAACTGACTACGCATGGAAGTAAGGTTCGTTCTTCAGAGTGTTTGTTGGTTGTTTTTTACTATCAAAACCGGGGTCATGACTTGGGTTGATTCTAGGTGGGCGTATTGTCGAAGTAATCAGGGCTGGTTTGAATGATCAAAACTGATGCCGCCTTTGCTTCAGTATTTAAGAATACAATCAATGTTGATATTGCATTTATATAAGATACTGTATATCACGAAAGGTAGCGGTTACGCTACCTGAGTTTTCCTTTTGCTTTAGCAAAAATGTATTAACCCAGAGCTGCAGCCTATCTCTCGGAGAAATGGTCCCCGACATCTTCGTTTGCTGGGGGGGGGGGGGGGGCCCCCCCCCCCTTTCAACTCCACCCTAGCGCGCCTCGGGGTCAACCGTTCGAAAACACTGTAAATATCAGTGTTTTCAGCTCTTCCAGTCCTCAGCAGTGACCAAAAATCATGGAATTTACAGCGTTTTTTGTGGCTGTCCGGCAAAAAACACCGCAAAAACCGATGGTTTTTGATGCGTCTCGGTTAGAAAAATGACCGAAAAAAGACCAAAAACCAGGAAAGATTTTGTCAGAAAGGGTTTTTGAGGCTTTTGGAGGCTTCAAAATTGCACAAAACTATGGTATTTACAGGGTTTTGTGCACCTTCCCGGCAGAAAACGCCGGTATTTACACGGTTTTCTGCGCTTTTCCAGCGCTCAACCGTGGTGCGCCTTTGGATCGACGGCTACAAAATACCGTAAATACCAGTGTTTTCAGCTCCTCCTGTCTTCAAGCGTGGCCTTAGACCTTGCCGCGGCTGTGGATCGACGGCAACGAAACCTCGTAAATACCAGTGTTTTTGAGCACGTCCTGTTTGCAAGCATGGCCTGCGGCCACGCAATTTACAGGGTCGCCGCACGTCACTATGTAAATCCGAAGTTGCATTTGAGAAATATGTGACTCCTTTTGAAGGCACGTCAACCTGTATTGAAGCCGCTAGACCGCTACAGCTTCTGGAGGTTTTGTCAAGCGCTTGTGCATTAGTTTTTCTTTCATCACGCTCACTCACTTCTCTTCAAACAAGTGGGGGGCCTCTCACCTCCTCCCGGATTACGCCTGATTCCCTGCTACCTTTCGTTCACCACCCTCCTCTCTCAAGTTTATATATATAACTATATATATATATAATTGATTGTATTCTAGACTTGGGTGCCTTGGGGCATTTTTTTAAAGATTTCCTTGCCTTATAATGTCGTTTGTATGCTTACAACTCTGCCCCTTGTTGAAGTCCAAGATCTCCTTGCCTCATCGCCACAGGTGGTTCCCCTACATGGCCTGCGGCATTTGTTTGGCAGTGCCGTGCCTCCTTGTGGGATGGGTGGCGGCCACGCCCTGGAAGGCACGGTGGATGCCGGTGGCTGGACTGGATGGTGGCTCCGCCACTGGAACTCAGAGCCGAGTAGGGACCTGATGATTCTTCTTCCTGGCAGCTTCTACTCCCGCTCGGGGAGTTGGTTAGTAGAGCTGAGCCGATGGTCTTTTTCGAGCATCGCAGCGCGCGGAGCGATCCCTACGCCCCAGATCCCTAATTCTGGTCAAGCAAAGGTGGCTTTACATTTGAGGGGTCTTGGGTGGTGAATGTAACTATTTGCTTACATGATCTTACATTGATCGTTTGGGTCCTCTTTTTCATGTTTTTTTAAAAATACAATATATAAAGCATTTATGTTTTACAATGGTCTGACTCGGCAGCGAGGACAACCTCCCCGAGTCTCAGGGTGGAATATTCTAGTTGTCTAGTCTCAGGGTCAACCCATTCAGTTGGATTCCAGGCATTTAAGCTAACCTCGTGATTTTTTCCGGAACACTTGGGGGTTTTCAGAACACTTGCTTGCCGTTCTGTCGGGGCGTGTGGGTTGTCTGAATCCTGAATACGGAAAACAAATATCCACAGCAACGCCCTGCCCCTATCGCATGACTCACAGCAGCATCCTCTCGATTCCTCTCGTCTCTTCTCGGAGGTGGAGCGAATGCACTTTGAAAGCAGGCGACGTGGACAACGTGACTGGCGAGCCGAAAACACACGACGTTAGACTTGTCACCTGGTGAGTTCGCCCCGTTCGCCCGGTTTGCAGTGTGCACGGTTGAGGTCAAAAGCCTTTAGAGTCTTTGGGGTGTGTGCTATCCAGCCAAATCATGAAGTTGGGCATCTACATTGTACTGGTCCCAGTCACAGCCTGTGCGTGGTCCAAAACATACGGAAGGCGTAGCTTATTCTGAAGGTTCGGACCGGCTTGTGTTTTCATGAAACTCCAAGCCCCAGACTGGCACGAAATCGCGGGAGGGATTGATTGTTGATGTGGCTTTCTGGGAGATTCAATCCCTCACACAATACTGTGAGGGAGAGATTCGTTCCACCAGCTTTCTCGGAATGCGTCAAGACCCCTTGACGTGCTTTTGAGAAGCCCCGATCAGACGTGAGACCCGTTGGGAAAGGATGACCCCCTCAAACACCATGAGCCAGATGATCCAAATGACTGCGGAGTTTCAACATGACAACATGATACATGGTTGATTCATAAATCCTAACATGGACTGTAAGGCCAGGCCTGAGCGGGTTTGATTCATCAAGAGTCAAGAGTCTACACTTTTCATGGTCCAAGTGGCCATTTTGGGACCCTGAGGTTCCATGAAACTCATAACCCTCCGGTGCTGAGCTGAAGTGTAGCTTCCCAAACCCTTCAAAGTTGAGCTTCCCAAAACAGCTCAAAAAGACCATGTCCGGAACATGGCACCATTTCTGAGACAAACATCACGACCCTTCAGGTGATCCCCAAGTACTTCGGGTCATTGAGCCGTGATCCCCTCCGGCCCTGTCACCTCTCAGAACCTCCTGGGCGATGGAGCCACCGGAGTACACCCCGGTGCGGCCGTTGACGTTCCTCGACCACCTCACCGGACCCAAGGCCTCACCGTTCGGAGCCGACGGGCCTCACCGGTATCACTCGGTTTTCGGACCCGGTTGGCACCGGTCAGACCGAGAGGGTTGGAGAGTGTGGAGGGGGTGGTTTGTTGGGGGCCGGTCCGTGTGGCCCCCAGTGTTCCCAACGAGTCATCTAGAGGCGGCTTTGGATTTGATGGTGTGTTTGCGTGTTTCTCCGCATGTTTGGGTTGCCGAATGGAGCGGTGTGTTTGGGTGTCTTCTTGGGGGTATGACGGTATTAGAATGTATTAGATGATAGGCAGTTAGTGCAAGAGTTTCATCCACAAACACGACCAGGGTTGCTTATTGAACCAACACGGTCTTAGAAATGGGTTTGGAATGGTTTTGGGCCCAAATATCCGCATGAAGGCCAGACCTTTCTGAGATTCTGCACATAACAGACGCTGAAAGATGGGTATGACAATTCCAGTTTGGTCGTTCCGCATTTTTTGAAACACATTTATCAATACCTTTTCCAGTCACATCGCTAGCAAGACTTCCAAATGTCATCAGTTTGGCCTGCATTACATTTGGTCCAGGTAGCGAAAGTTAGCTCGACTTCATGCACTTTGACTCGTGAGTTATGACATGTTATGACTGAAAAGATTTGCTTCACACCAGTCAGCAAAAAGAACACGACCAGGCCACGTGCGTTTCCCCATGTTTCGGGCCAATGTCCAGACCTTTTGTAGCTCTCAAGCCTTCGTTTTGTCAACTCAGCCCCCAGAATTGGCTCCCACCCCGAAATTCGCGACGGCCGCATCCTCACCTTCGGCCAGTTTAACGCGACGGAGAAGCCCTACTGTGGCCCGTCGTTTTGCTTCAGCTCCGAGTCCGCGAATTGCTTCCAGAAGCATCCGGCCCAGCTGTGCGCCTCGGTGCCGACTGCCTTTTTTGCAAATGGCGCTCGCTGTTTTTGGGCGGTTTCGGGGACGAGAGCTGGGAGAGGTCCTTCTTTTGTTCAGATTGATATAGCTGGGCGGAGGATTCATTGAACTCAAAGTTGACTGGCAGAGTTTTTTAATGAACCGATTAAACCATGCTTGAACCTATATTTGAACCCTGCGCAGATCCTGGAATTTCAAGGACCGTCAACAAGCGAAAAGTGATGGCTGGACTGTGACCCACGATATGTAACAGCATAATTAGCAATCACAGTCTTGCAAAAAGTCAGGAACAGATAATGGTCCAATGTGAGAAGGTTTTGCTGCTATTG